CCATAAAAACCCCGACCAGCTCTGCCCGGATCGACAACCTTATTTCTGGTCTACCTTGGGGGTCTAGACCTTTCTTTTTTTCTATAAAGACGCCCTCCTCAAAGCCCGACAGTGATAATCAAAGTAATAATCAGCATGCATTGATTGAGCCTGTCAGACACTCCAGGTATTGGGCCTGATTAATTTTCAAAACTCTACGAACTGGCTCTATTTTAATCACCTGCCACAGACACACACATGCGCACGTGCACACACAGAGAGACACACACGCACACATAGACAGACACACAGACGCACACATAGACACACACGCGCGCACGCACAGACACATACACACAGACACATGCACACAGACACGCACACACACACAGAGACACATGCGCGCACACAGAGACACATGCGCGCACACACACGCACACACAGACAGACACACATGCACACACAGACACAGACACGCGCACACAGAGACACACGCACACACAGACACAGACACGCACACACACAGAGACACACACACACACAGAGACACGCACATGCTTTGGAGATGAGGACATTGAGCCTCAGAGAAGTTAAGCAACTTGCCTGGGGCCTCACAGCTGTGCAGCGGGGGTTGGGCGGTGAAGCTGTGACACCGGTTTTGCATGTGCTGAGATCCAACATTGCCTTTCTTTGTGGCTAAGAGATGCAATTCCGAACAAAAAGCCCTTGCCCCAGAGTGGCCTTTTTTCTAAAGATGAGTAGGTTAACACGCACACGTCCTGCGAGCTGGACTGGCGCTTCAGCGACTGGCGCTGGCCCCCGCAGGAATGAGGGGTGTCCCCCGCCCCGAGACGCAGCCGCTGGTCCCTTTGTGGCCTTGGAGGTTTCTGAATTTAGTGCCTGAAAATGATGTGCTGGTCCCCAGAGGGCATGGCAGCCTTTGGCATAATGTAACTCAGGAAGGTCGGTTTCAATATGCCCACTTCCCTTTCCCCAGAGAGTCACCAGCCACAAACTCATTCTAACTAAATGTCCTTGTTCCCCCTGCCTTCCCCGGTCCTGGGCACCTTGCTTTTTAAAAGCTTTATTTTTTTTGTTGTTGATTTCAGAGAGGAAGGGAGAGAGAGAGAGAGAAACATCAATGATGAGAGAGAATCATTGATCGGCCGCCTCCTGCACGACCCACACTGGGGATCGGGCCTGCAACCCGGGCATGTGCCCTGACTGGGAGTCGAACCGGGACCTCCTGGTTCATAGGTCAACGCTCAGCCACCGAGCCACGCCAGCCAGGCCCAAGTGAAGCTCTTGAGGGTGGAGTTTTAAATAAGGGGCAGCTGTTTAGGGGCCTGGATTCTCCTTCTCAGTGGAAGTGGGGGTTGCAGGGAGCAGAGGCAGCTGGGGTGGGCGGCCCCAGGACTTTGGGTCAAGTCCCAGCTCCACCACTCACCAGCGTGGTCAGTCATAACAAGTGTGAGAACAGCTGCTGGTGGGACGAGCCGCTGGCGAGGGGCCCTCCATGTGCTCATCTTCCTCGGGGCTCACAGACAGCCCAGGAGGGAGCTGTGTGTGTCCTCGCTCGAGGGCAGAGAACGCGGCTCGGGCAGCGAGCCATCTGTTAAAGCCACATGGCTGATGGCGTGACAACGCCACGACTCAGAAGGCTTCTCTGACGCCAGCGTCACGCGGCCCCATCCTTTCTGCCCCGTGTCCCCAGCTGCGGGCCCTTCCTTCTCCCCAGGGTGGTTTTGAGGTTCAGCTGAAATAAAACCTGCAGGTGTGCAGTCCCACGTACAGTGCTGGGGCCCGCACTTCCTGTAACCCAGCTAGCTCTGAGATGCCGGCTTCTCCCAGGGCCGAGGGCAGGGCAGCTGTGGCACCACGGTGCCTTTTTGGAATCTCAAGATGGTAAAAGAGTCACTGCCTGAAACAGCCATGAGAATATGGCTGACCAGCCTCCCTGAGCAGCGAGTTATTTGCACAGCTTTGCAGTTGGGACCAGGGGCCCTCCCAGGGCGAGGGCGGAGACCTGTTCCCAGGGCCTCACCTATAGGGCAGGACAAGGACACGCATGTGAATGTGTCATATTGAGGCCACAGTTAGGTGTGTGGCTAGAGAGGCAAGGCTGCCTGATTGGAGTGGCCTGAGGGGTGGGATCACACATTTAACATCCCAACGGATCGGACCATGTTCTGGGAGCAGGAGAAAGGGGGGTGAATAGGACAGACCTGCCTGCTCGTGAGTGAACATCCATTCTAGTGCGGGGAGACAGACAATGAATGAATGAATGAATGAATGAAAAGAGGGTTTTGAGAGTGTGAAGTGCTGTGGAGAAAATGACACAGGGTGATGTGAGAGAGATGGGAGACCTGCTCTGCAGGGGAGCGGGGGAGAGGGGTGACCAGGGAAGCAGGTGCACTTGAGCCAGGATCTAAATGAGGCAAAAGAGTCAACCAGATAAAGAGCCGGAGGCGCTGCCTGCCAGGTGGAGAGAACAGCAGGTGCAAAGGCCCTGGGGCAGGAGCAAGCTTGTCAATTTTTCCAGGGGTGATCAGAAAGCCGCCGTGCTCTAGGGCTGTGAGCAAGGCTGAGGGTGGGAGCAGGTAAGACCCGGGAGGCTGGTGGGGACCAGATCATGGTGCCTCACAGGCCATGGCTTCATTCAGAAAAGCTCCACGGCCGGAAGTACACTTAGAGTCGTGCTTCTAGGGAGGGTGACAGGTCACTCTGGGGTGGCCGGGAAGAAGGGCTTGAAAGGGGTCACTAACCAGAGTTGCCGTTCAGGAAGCCAACCGCGAGCTGGGCCGCGTGTGGAAGGCCCCTGGGTCATTCCTCGTCTGTCTTTCCCCTGCCCCCCAGCACCTTGCCCATCGGGAGGAAGGGGAAGTGCCCGAGCTCGCTGTACATGGCCTGGCTGGAGACGCTGTCCCAGGAGCTCCGCCCGCCCGTCATCCTGATCCGAGGGAACCAGGAGAATGTGCTCACCTTCTACTGCCAGTAACGCCAAGCGTGGCCACGCCTGCCCGAGGCCGAGGGCGCATCCCCTGGGACACCCACCTCTCCCCGGGACAAGGCCTGCGCTCCGTCCCGCCCCAGGATCTGACTGAAGAGGCTGCAGGTTTCCAAACTTTGGTCGGAACCCACTCCCCTCGGACCTGTCCTCCGGGCTTGGTTTTATGGGCTGGCGAAGGAGCCTTTGAGGCTGGGTGAAAAGTTCTCTGGCGGATCGGATCCATCGTCCTTTTAAGTTCTTCTGATTTTGATGGCAGCAAATTAAGATTTCAGTCTTTGATTGATAGACAAGTTTGAGTCAGAGTGTTGGCTGTTTGTACAGACGTTTCCATGCCTGCCTCCTGCAAGGTCAGGAGAAGGGGCACCCCACATGCACACCCTGGTCGCCCTCACCGAGGGATGCAGGGCTCCTGGAACCTCCATACTCATGCAGATTTCTCTAACCACCTCTCACGCCCTGCGCTTTCAATAATAATGCGTCTTCGGTGTTTTGCCTGCTTCTCTGGGAGACCAGGGACTTTCAAACTGTTCAGGGCTGCAGCCCACAGTGAGGGATAGATTTTACGTTGAGCCTTGGAACAGACACACTTATCCTCACTCGGGTGATGCACGCCCATCTGTGCTGCTCTAATACTCCTTCTTCTTTGAATGTCGGTTGCCATCCACTCATGAGTGTGGGACCCACTAATGGGGGTGACCCCGGTTTGAAAAACAGCGTAGACCTTCCTTTGTGCCCTGAGGTTTTCAACAAAAGCTGATGTGACTAAGGTCATGCTGGGCCTCACTGCCCTCTCCGTCCTCACCCCACAGGGAAGAACTAACAAATAACACTCGAGGTGGCGTATTGTCGGGGGCGGGGCGGGGAGGGGGGTGCGTATCAAGGAAGAGCTTCCAGAGAAGGGAGAGATTTAGGGAGTCTCGTGCCAGGGTGTGCAGCTTTAGATCTGGTTGGGGACGGAGGATGGATGGTTGGTTAGGGATGCAGGTATGGGGGAGGGGGGGGGTCAGGAATGGAGAAACAGAACCGGGGGGGTGGGTGCAAGATTGGACAAAGGATCCAAAAAGTGCATGTGTGGCCCCAGGTCGGGTGAAAGGATGGGAGGAGGGGCCACTGGTAATAGAGCCAGTGCATTGTGGGTGGTCGTAGAATGGGGGTCAGAGTTGAGAACCTGGGGAAGATGGGCCTTGTTCATGCACAGATGTTGGGGTCCCGGGATTGAACACCCCCAGAATGCTTGCACCAACCATACTTGGATGCGAGAGCAGAATGAACGTGAAGAGACTCCAGTGCTGGAGGGTGGGGCTCCCTGAAAGGGCATCTCAGTTCTGGGTGCACGTGTGTAGCATGCAGTGAGCTGTTGGGGGGCACGGCTGGCTGGGCCTTTTCCAGGAGATGGTGGTGAAGGAACAAGGCGACTTTGGGTCTGCTCAGGCCCCTCCCAGCCCCCTGAAGCACCCTCAGTTATGGAGGGTTAGGACCGAAGGACACTGGCATTTCTCCGGTCATGCGGCTGCAGAGAACAACGGCTCTGGTCTCAGGCTGTTCCAAGTCTCTCTGGTCTTCTGCTCAGCGGGACTCCTAGAGCGACCCAGCGCCTGGCTGAGCTGCCTGACCGGGGACGGCACCTCTGCTCCCTGGGGGCCTCGGGAGGGCGCCTGCCTCAGCCATTCCCCCAACTCCACATCAGATAAAACCTCGGTCAGGGATTACAGTCCGGAGCCACATGGAAAACTATTTCCTGGTGAGCGGACACTCCCTCCCCAGACCTCAGGAGACCGGACCCAAGGACAGAACTTGCTTTGGCTTCAGGCATTAAATACTAAAAGCAAAACTTCACTCGGAGGGAGACTGAATTTTTAACAATTTTAATAGCTTTGGGGGAAGGAGGGGAATGAAAGCCTTGAGTTAACAGTGAGGTCAAAACAGTGAAATGGACAAAAATAAATTCACGGGCAGGGCTGGGGCGGGGGTAGGACTGACTTGCTTGGGAACACACTGTTTTTCAACTCTGCTGAGCGCATTGTTTTTTCAGCCCTGGATTGAACTTTTCGGAGCTTCCACGGGTCTACAGGTCACGTGGCCAGATCGCTGCACGAGTATTTTCTGGAGACGTTTTCCTTTTGCTTCTCTTACGTGGGTCTGCAGACTCATCGGGAGCCTGCTTTCTTCCGTGTTAGGGAAGTCTCCCAGGATTTTAATCTTGCCTCAAACCAAGAGGTGGAGTGGGAGGAGCCACAGGGTGGCCACCAGGGGAAGTGGATTTGAGTTTCCATCTCCCCCCAAAACTGGCCGTGTGACCTCCATACACCCCTGGATCTCTCTGGGCCTCAGTCTGTGAAAGGAGAGGACTGGCCCAGACCAGGTGTCACTACCAGCTGGCCTGCTGAGGACTGCGGTTTGGCGCACACTTGGTTGGTCAATGTCCTGGCGGCTGGGGGGTGGGGTGGAGAACGCATTCTCCAGGGCCCCACCCCGTGGCCCCCCACTTCCTCTGCTGAGTGATTAGGAGCACTCGAGGCTGTCCGGGTCACTGTTGGGCCTCAGGGCACTGGAGAGGTGAGACGTTTCAGTCCACAGAGGCCTCTCTGTGCCTTGGATGTAAAGTGCTCCATGTTAGGGAGTTTCAGTGTGTGTGTGTGGTGGGGGCGGGAGGGACAGGGAAGTGTTTTCCCTGTGGTCCTCCCATTGTGTGTGCATGGGAAGCCTGACCCTCAGGCAGGTGGGTCATCAGGGCCCGGCCCCAACCCACAGCCACACCCACCACCAGAGCAGGGGCTCCTCTCTTATCTCTTCCCCCACCCCCCCACCCCCAATCCACTGCCCAGTCAGCTCCCAATTTCCCCTCCAGATTTCATATCCTCTTTTCGTTCCTGCCCACACCTGTCAGCGGAAATGTTCCAGAAGAACCACCTGGCTGAGTGGCCCCCAAGCACATGCAAAACAGACAGGCTTTGCTTGTAGCTGTATATAACTCAGGGTGTCAAAAATAAAATTAAAATTAAAATTCTGCGTACTTCAAAAGTGTTCACAGACACGGGGCCCAGGAAGGCCCAGCCAGTGGCTTCATTGGCCATTCATTCCCCATTCGAAGTGAGGGCTAAAGTGAGGGTTCACTCACGCGTGACTTGAGCGTCTCTGCTGAGAGGGAACCACAACACATTCCGTTTCTAAAAATACCGAGTGGGCAGAGCCTTGCGGAGAGGCACCTGGCGGGGAGGCCAGACAGCGGAATGTCCCCCGGATGCAAGGCAGCGGGCGGAAGGACAAGTGGTTTTCACGCCGGAGAGCTACAGAACTGGGAGATGCCCGGGGTCCCGTCTTAGACAAAGGTGGGGTGTGTGAAAGTGAGGAGGTTTGGGAAGCAGGGCAAAGGGCCTGCCCACAAGGAACCAGAGCTGGGGCCACCCTTACAGGCCGGCATGATGGGTGTGGTTTGGCGTGGGCAAGGCTGGCCCGATCAGGTTGGAGGTAAGAGGGTTGGAGGGGTGAATGGAGAGGCCGGTAAAGAGGAAAATTGACCGAGTTCAGTAGGAGGGCTGAGCAAGCAGAAGTGAGTTCCTGGAGGAGATGAAAAAGTCCCACCACTTAAACACGGCTGTTCCTGTAAATGATGTCTGTAGCCGCCCGCATCTTGGCCTACGTGCTAGGCCTAGCCTGTAACCAGCTTGGGGAAGCTGGGTGTTTTGCTAGGGAAGAAAAAAAAAGAAACTGACACACATAGCGACGGGTGCTATGACAAATAAAGCTGCCATCAGCATTCCCATGCAAGCCTCTAATTTCTTTTGGGTAAATCCCTGTAAGTGCAATGGCTGTTGTAGGGTGGGTGGGTGTTTAACTTTATGAGAAACTTCCAGACCATGTCCACAGGGGTGTCCTACCAGCCACCAAGGAGAGCTCTGATGGCTCCATATCTTTGCCAATACTTGGTGTTGCAAAAATTCACTTTAAAAAAGAGTTCCTGCCCGGCTGGTGTGGCCCAGTGGTTGAGCATTCACCTATGAACCCGAAGGTCACGGTTCGATTCCCGGTCAGGGCACATGCCCAGGTTTTGGTCTAGATCCCTGGTGTGGAGTGTGAAGGAGGCAGCTGATCCATGATTCTCTCTTATCATTGATGTTTCTTTCTCTCTCTCCCTCTCCCTTCCTCTCTGAGATCAATTTTTTTAAAAGTTCCTTAGTGATTATTTCACAGGTAGACTCGGGAGCCCGTGTACTGGACTCGTAGTTCCCTAAATACTAATGACTAACATTTCTGAAGCACTTCCTACATGTCTGTATCTGTCCCAGGACCTTTAACGCTGTCCTATCATTTAAGCCTGAGCACCCTATGAAGTCAATTCTATTCTTCTTCTTCCTATTTTAAAGATGAGGAAATTAGGCACAGAGCTTAAGTAACTTGCTGAAGGTCACATAGCTCCTCCATGGCAGAAGCTGGGTTTGAAAACAGGCAGTCTGGCTGCGTCCATGAGTTTAACCACCGAGCCCACACAAGTCCTCTATACAGGTACCCTTGGGGCTGACTCATAATTGCTATCATTATTATTGTTATTCAAATGTCACCCTTCCTTCAGAGTTCCACGTTCACCTCTGCCATCAAGTTTTCTCTGTCTCACCCCTCTTCTTCCCTGTCTCTTGAAATCCCTGGATGGAATCATGAATCCTTCAGAAATGTAAGGCGAGTTTGGGGTTGTCTTTTATTTTTGTATTTTTTGTGCAGTCTTATCACCCCCGTTGTTTTTGTAAGGTCACCGAGCCCAGGGTCACTCGTGTTTATCCTTCTATTCCTGGCAGGATTGTTGACTTGAATTTTATGTTTGTCTAAAGGTGCAAGAGGCAAAAGCACCAAAGAGCTTTCAAAGGGGCTGCTAGCTCCTTGGGACATAACCCTCAGGAATCACAGACATCGGATTGCCGTTTCCCTTGAGGGGGGCGCAGGGGAAGACACCCCTTTATTCTCTTCTTACTGGAAATGGGTCTGGAAATGGGGCCACCGGAGGGTAAATCTTATGCTCATCACCGCAGCTAGAATTCTTAATTTCCCAGTGAGGCCGTCCTCTCCCGCCCGCCTGCCCCCTGTAAGGCCTCTGGTGGTTTCATGTGGCCTGGCCCCACTGGTCAGCCTCTAGCTGGGTGCAAGTCTACCGGGTCATAATCAGTCATTTCCTTCCATCCTGACATATGAAAAGCTACATGATTCGTGGGACCCAGTGAAAACATAGGGCTCTTCTTCAAACTTTTTTTTTTAAATCTTATAAAACTTCAACTTCTTCAAACTTTTATTCTGACTTTTCAGATGTTGACAGCAGAGCATTAAATCAGTTTAAGGCGAAGGTTGACCTTTGATAGGAAAAAATACCGCCCTAAGACATGACTTTGGGTTAGAAAGTGTTAATTTCAGGCCGAGCTGGTTTTGCTCAGTGGTTGGAATGTCCGGCGGCGACCTGTAGGGTCCAGGGCTCGATTCTGGCCAATGTACTTGGGTTGC